GAAAAAAAGTGCATAGCATCAATTACCTCCATTAAGCTTGCTTTCTTCCCCTTTTTAGTACATCCTGTATGGATTTTATTTTGTTTACTTTGTATTCCATGGTTAACTAAAGTATTTACACTATGTTTGACACCCATTTTATGGGAATGAGAATTTTTGGAATAGTGATTGATGGGAGAATGTGTGGTGAAAAAGTTATGAAAAGTTTTAGATTTGTGTGTAATATTATTTTATTAGAAGAATGTGTGGTTGAAATGAAGTAAAAGAAAAAAAGGAGAATGAGAATGAGAAAAAAAAAGGTGTCAAACAGGGGCTAAGATTCATCCAAATAACGAAAAGGAAATATTTACTACTGAAGCTCAAGAGTTTGATCAAGAACTAACCTTAAAATGTCATTCTTCAACAAACAATCAAACCTTTTGGATTTTCCCCGAAATTCTAACCCCCAGCACAAGACAACAATAAAGTCCAATTTAATTTTCAAGAAACAAATTATGGCAAGAATTTTTATAACTGATACAACAAATAATAATAATAATAATAATAGTAAATCAAATATACAAGGAACGGTAATCAGAAGGATATGCTTGGCGGTGCTTAAAACTGTCTTTTTAGCATAATAAAACGCTAAAAAGCCGATTTTAAGCACTGCCAAATATCTAAATTAATATTAAGTGTATTAAAAAAAAGGTAATCAACTCCAACTAACTAAATTTAATTTTCAAGAAACAAATTATGGCAAGAATTTTACAATAGATAATATATTAACAGAAAAGAACTTCGTGAAACTAAATTGAATATATATTAACAAAAGGGTAGTCAATAATCAAAGCAATAAGTAAATTAAAAATTGAAAACCTTGAAGACCCTTTCATTGAAGACACCTGGTTGAGTCTGAAGATCATTGGGTCGAGCACCATCACTGAAAGCCCAAGTCCTGCAAACTGTCATCCCCATTTCAGCCCCTTTCTTGAGCATATCAGAGACCCTATATCTCGATGGACCCCACACACTCTCCTCCATCAACCAATAAGAATTCCACCCATTCAAATACACAGGTGATTCTAAACTCTCATTTTCCAAAAGCACAAATCTGGTGCCATTAACTCCTACAAAGCCCATTTTGGGAGGACTCCGTGTGATGATTGGAAAAGAAAAATATGTGTTATCGAAGTAATTCAGATAGATGAAGCCCAGGAGGAATATAATGCCTATTGCAGGGTATAATTTCTTGTCCCTCCAATTTGAGTCCATTGGAAGGGAAATTCAGTGTTTGAACTATTACATAGAGAATTTCTTATATATTTTTTGGTTTGAGATAGTATTCATCGTTCATGGAACTGGGAGCTAGCAGACAGAGTAAAACCGCTTAAGTTTGTTGTTTTAGTAGGCATGTCCTTTTCTGTCGTTGCAAAAGCCTAAACCAACACTTCATCGCCTAGGGGGAGTTAAGGGGTTGGCTCCATATTCCTCATCAGAATTCAAAGAACGAAAAATTTGGAAGACGGACTCTTTCTCTCACCGACAATAAATGAGAGAGGTGTTTGGCTTCTTAAAGGATTAGGGAAGAATTAGAATCAGTTCCTCAATCTTTCAATTACCTCTAAAAGTGGAATTTTAGATATTTTAGGGTTTAGGGTTTAGGATTTTAAAATGGAAAGAATGCATTTTTTGGAAAGAATGTTTTTTTTTTTTTTTGGTGATGTGATGGGTAAAGATGTGGTTAAAAAATAAAGTAAAATTATTGATGTGATGAAAAATATTATTTTATTAAAGAATATACGGTTACAAATGAGTAGAAGAATGAAAATGAAAATATCGCTTAAACATAGACTTAATCTATTTAAATTTGTGAATATGAGACTCTACGTGACAAAAATTGTTAAGTCAAAAATTTCCCGTGACGTTTCGTTCACATCCACGTTGACGACATCCCGATTACAAATTTAAATATGTTGAACTCAAATCTCACTTAGAGTGACCAGATTGCTCGAAATTAAAGATGAGTGACCTGATTGCTCATTTATTAAAAGTGTAGTGACAATCAATGCATATGCTTTAGAATCTCAATTTCATTCGTCAAACCTCTTACGTAAGAGAAAAGAATGTTTGCTGAGAACGACCGTCTAAGAATGTAAATAAACAATAACAATAAAAACACATTTAAGTCTTATTTTCCAATTTTAAAATTGGAAATCCACAACAAAAATCATTTCTCAACACTCCATTGACTGCTAGAATTGCTTAGAGACGTAGAGGAGGGGAGTTTCAGGAGGTTTACGATTGGGATAAAACAACTAACAAAATTAAATACACCATGTCACCACATAAAATGTAAGCAAAGGATTTACAATAAAAATAGAAAGAAATATTGAGCAAAAGTCAAACTTCAAGTCACTTTTTTTTGTGAAACAGACTTTTCTTACCAACATCCTTTCTAGTAAAATAACTTTTAAGCATAGCCAAACATGCTCTATTATGTATGCGCATGATCATTGGTCACGGAGAAACCTTTGTAGACATCGAAACCCCAAATGCTCAGCACAAAACCTCTCCATGTCATTCCCACCTCCTATTTCTTTGCACACCTCTTTTTCCATACCAGCTAAAACATCATCCCAGTCCCTTAAATACCCATCCCAGTGTTGAACTTTCGAGTCTGAAACTGCATCCAGTATCTCCTGCAACCCCACAATCCTACGGCTCACATGCCTCCTCAGCTCCCTTACAGTGGCATCAATCCCAGGCACTGAGTCTAAACTGAATAACAAACTCATCAAGGCCTCATTCATCTTGATCCGCTCCCATTCATTGGCACGCACAGCATCAACTGTCTCCTGCATTAACTAGGAGGAAACACTCAGTCGATGTTTGGCACGCAATACTGAATAAGATATTATTAGAGTATAATACTGCCCAATATCAAGTCTCTCTTCCAAAGTCTATATGAAATCTAAAACCAATGTGAATCGCTTATCCCATCCTTTATTTTGTGTCCCAGTTTAATAAGATTTATCACATGCTAAACTTAGGCAACAAGTTGAGGTAAAATGCAGAATGGACCAAACTCAATTTCGACCATCACCAGGCATCAGCTATACAGTTTATGATATCAAAATGACCACCTAATACTCTCACATAATTTACAGAAGGCTCATGATCGAAAAATAAACATTTGGACGCAGTGGCTGCAATTAAATCAACATGATTGCATATTCACAGTGCTGTTCAATTCTCAGTCAAGAGTCAGGACATTGAAATCAGCTGCTTATATCTATTTAAGCATCACTCAGTATTATCATTTTCAAAAAGTAGTGATCTCAGCAAATCTTATAAACTTGAAGAAGAAACGATTTTTTATGGGAACAACACAACAGCTAACTAACAATTAACGGTCAAAATCGTAAAACCCAAGAATCATGAAAAATAGATACACTATTGAGAAAATTGCGCTGAAATTGAATGCATTTTCTTCCCTTCAAATATAATTATCAGTTACATCCATCAGAACCCTACCAATTTGGAAATCATTACTCCGATTTCAAGTCTCAATCTGACGATCCATTACTTGCTATTATTCTTCCTGAATAAGAATGCAGATTATTGCTAATGCCTAAATTCACCAATCCACCAGACTACCATGTCTTTAAAAAGGATAATTAATTGGTTTAAAAACAATTCTGGTCACTTCAGTTTTAATGAAATTCACCGTTGAATTAATGAATATAAATAGAATGATCAGCTTCAAACATATTTATGTTCAATGATGAATTCCGGGCAAAATAAAGTTCAGTAACCTAGCGTAACATTTCGTTAAGAGTTCAGTGATAAACAGCACATATTAACCTGGTATTTAATTTACTGTTCATTCTGCAATGGGATCATCAAAATTCAATAATGAATAACAAAAAATTGACCGCCCCGAAGAAATTAAGAAATCCAGAGTACAATTTGCGAAGAGGTATTAGTGCGAGTTGGAAATTTAAAACGCATGCCTGTTGTTGGATGAGTCTTTCCCAATAATCGGCTTCAGAATTGACGGCGGCGATAGTCTTTACAAGGTTCCGGACCCTGTGCGATCGATACGCTGACTGTATCTTAACAGCAGCTGAGGATTGAGGTTGCGCAATTGGGATGGGAATTGAGGGCGGTGGTTCATCAGAAGGGGGCTGGATGGGGATTTCAACGACTTTCGTGTGGGCATTGGGAGCAGAATTGTCAGTGTAGAAAACTGTACTGGTGGTGGTATAGTGGAAAAATCGAGACGCCATTTTTGGAGCATAGAAGAAGAGAAGGGAAAGCAGAGGTTAGAGTAAAGGAGTGAGGAAATTATGGATATATTGGCGCGTATTACGTGGGCATAGGTGTCGGCAACAGAGCCAAAAGTCAATGTTGGGACCCATGAATTCAATTTTGGAAGATTTTATTACATGTAAATCCGTCACACTTTACCCTTTGCTAGTTTAAAATACAATCAATATTTTCATCATCGTCATATTATCTTATGTATACTTTTGTCTATAAGTAGCAAAATTCATTTTGAAATGTCGACAAGAGATGCAAATTGATCATATTAAAAATCGAAAATTGTTCTAACTGGGCTCTCGATTTTAGTTTTTTTTAAAAAAAACTGATTCTACCACAAAAATATTTTTTATAATATCTCAATTAAATCGTAAGTATATAGATTCACATGCATTCAGATTCTCAGAACAATGGTCAGTTTTATTAATTAAAATGTGAGACGTGAAAGTGACATATTACACTTAAATTTTATTTTTAAGCATGGGAAATCTCACCAGAACAAACGGTTGCATAAAAAATAGGGATCACGTTAGAGCAGAACCGATTTTGATCCGATCCAGTTCCTTTTTATGTAAAGAATAATGCTACTTACAGTCTCTCACTGCAGCAGTTGCCCTATGTGACACACACATGTCAAGTGTGTATTTGATGCATTAAATGTGGTAAAAAACTACCACATTAATGCATCAAATAACTACATGCCATGTGTGTGTCACATAGGATGACTGCTGCAGTGAGCGACAGCAAGTAGCTTTACTCTTATGTAAAATCAATGGTTCTATTTTGACAATTCTCAATAAAAATTGGCTCAAACCAGTTCTCAAAGTATCTGGACAGAATCACTCGATGCCCATCGGTAGGAAAAAATAGACGAGAGTTGTCGGCTTACATGCAATACAACGATGAATGCATAACAAATTTCCACAAAACAATGGCTAGTCCAATGTCCTGCAGTATACACCTGCCAACTCAGAGGTCTCAAGGAACAAAAATTCATCCAAACCAGCAACAATGGGTTTTCAAGATGGCGATGGGAGAATCTTTCCCGAGAAGGTTCCAAGCCAACAAGGTAACCATCCCCCTGCAATCAAATCATGCTATTAATACGAGAATGTGCCGATAATCCTGAAACAAAAGTATATATTAATGTATAAGGTCAAACAACACTAGGAAGGGTGCTATAATCAGCAGTCTGACTACCCACTTTTCCTGTGTTTGGTAGGGTCAATTACATATTATTGGACATTATTAAAAATGAAAAAGAAACTAAAATCTTGTTCATTGTAATATGAAGCCCAATCCAACACTATGTACCATGTGCTCATTATGATGATTTCATATTTAATAATCCTAGAAAGGAAGAAGGCACTACAAAACGTGGGCTATTTTTTTGCAGCAATGAACTGATCCTAAAGGGGAGAGAGGAGAAAACGATGAATCAATCTAAGTCTGTCTCAGTCTAAACTAACTACTTTTACTGGATTTCTGGTGTAAATACTAAAAACTAAATTCATGTAGAAGTAAACAAATCCAAAAAAGGAACCTTGCAACAGCCAGTAAAAGTAACTTCGTCTCCATCTTCCAGAAATGTACCGAGTTGATCCACCTAAAGGTAAAGGTTTTTGTCCATTCCAGGTTAACTCTAGCAAGCAAGCATCCATAGGATTCTGGTTCCTGCAAAAGAACTTAAGTTGGTAAACCAGTACAAGAAACTTTTATGGCTACTATTGTTTATATGAGAACAAAGAAGCAACACTGGAACAAACTTCATTGAATGTATCACACTAGGAATACTATCTTACAGGTCCACTGATGGCCCCAGTCCCAAGGAGGTCACCAGGCCTTAAGTTGCAACAATTGATGGTATGGTGTGCGAGTTGCTGAGTGATAGTCCAATATCTGTATCACAGGAAAGCAAATAAATTTGGAATAAACCATTCAACGCTGGCCTGTAGACATGTATCATTCATAGTTATAGAAGTCATCAAATGAAAAAAGAGAAGACACCAACAAGTGCTTGAAGTTGCTTCTTGTGACGATGCACGTATTTTCTTCGCCGGCAGGTTTAACAGATACCTGGTAGCAAGAAAGCAAGTTGTCATTTCCATGAGTATGAGTACAATTTTCAATTTCGAAAAAAACAAATAAAAAAATACTATTTATTTTGTTATGCAATGTATATAATTTGAAATGGTTAAATTGAGATCACATCCAAAGTGAATATTTATTTCAATAAACTCCTAATATTAGCTAAATTATCTGTACAAGAGGAGATAAACACCTGCAAGGAGATGTAGTAGTTTTTGGATATCTTTTCAGCAAGATAAGGAAAGGGTGGAGGATTCTGCAGATGACACTTCAACTAAGTTATGCTGTGTAACCAGGTTAACTGCCCTTGTTATCCCATATGATTAAGCAGATTAGGTACCTTCTTTGGAGAATCAGAAACAAATGGTTCGAGAGCATCTAAAGTCACAATCCATGGGGATATAGTATAGTTCCTGGAAAGGACCCACAAGCAAATGATAAGATTGTGCATCAATCAGCCAAATGATAAGTGATATTTATTTATAATATTATTCAGAAACTTTGATTTTCTTTATAGAGTTCAAAATAATTAGTAAAACTAGGATATCTTACCAAAAATCTTGCCAAGAAAAGGACCAAGAGGCACATATTCCCATGCCTGAATATCTCTTGCTGTTGACAGCAGCTCATCATCAGTATGACATCCAAAATCGAACTGATGATATTATAAGCAGATAATATGGATGAATTTAAATGTAAGAGAGATTTCGCGCATACCACTCCAGTCATTCATAAAAACAAGTCCCAATATATGATCTGCAGCCTCATTAACATCTACAGGCTTCCCCAATTCATTCCCAGGGCCAACCACAGCAGCCTTCAAAGAACGGTAAAATTTCCAGAAGAAAAATGGGATGAGTACCACAATGAGTAAATGATTACAGTTATAACAGTAATAAATAAACAGGAAAAGCATAAAAAGAATTTGAAATCAATGACTCACTATATGTTGAACTGAAAATGTCAAATACATCATATATTGAAGTTACGTCACTCACAAGAAACTGTCAAAAGTTTAATAATGACATAAAAGCTCACCATTTCCATCTCAGAGTCCAACTTACGAGAAGGTCCAAAATAGGGTGGAGAATTTCCAGTTGGGTGGCCTTGTCCTCTGGAGACACAGAAGTAGCAGAAATCATGATATGAAACCATCTAAGGATTTCTGGCCTAATACAGCAAAAAAATGAGTTGATTACAACCAAGTCAAGAAAGCAATTCATAGTGACATAAATCTTTTGCAATTAACATCTAATTCTTTCAAGAATATAAAAATAGTTTATAGGGAAAATATATGTCCACAATAAATACAGATAGACAAGGATATTGAAAATCAAATTGAAGAAAAGACGTCCTGCCTAGTGTGGTGTTAGCATGCTGGGGTTGAGACAGGTGGTTTTCCCCCAGTCTACTTCATGTCCCTCTACTTAGATAGGGGACTAAACAGTCCACGGTCACTTTTGTTCCTTGAAAAAAAAAACACACTATGGCCAGCACATGGATCAGAATCTGACTGCAAATACTGGCCTTTTTAAACACGAGATACTGAATACACTTACAAAATTGATGATCATGTCAGGAGCTCCTCAAGATTGATAACCGCACCAATCCTTAATTTCCATTCACAAAAAAGGAAGCTGGGTACTTTAGCAAAATAGAAGATCAACTTGAAGCTAGGATATGGAGTTGGAGGAAAATAGAAGATAGATCAACTTGAGTCTATTTTGACAACTTCTAGTTTGATTAATAGTATGCTACGTGGAAAATTTAATGACAGCCAATATAGTCATGGTTCAAGCTCAAAGGCCTGTGATGTAATTGCGATAGACATTGAGAAATACACTAAAACATCCATGGTATGCAGTTACCAATTCATCTTAACTCATTGCTCCACAGAACAACACTGAATTGCTTTAATAAATTGGCATTCAGTATAAGTTTTTAAGACATTCATTATAAAGTAGATTAAATCCTTTATGTTAACATGATGCGCTTTGTGTGATTAATAAGGCTTTCAGCGTTCTAGCAAACTGCAGCTATATGCGAGCAATAAAAATAAAAGTATAACTCCTGGTACAAGGGCATGTTCAGAAAATTGAGGCAGTAGTTGGTGTTTCGAAAATGTAGCACAGGGGACCACAGTTCTTTGCATGATGCATCGAAGCAGAGAAATCTGTATAATCGCCTATCATAACAGGAAGAAGCATTTGGACCTTGACCTGAATCATCAGAACAGGCAAAACTTTTAACGCCAGTGTCCCAAACTAATCAGTTATTTAAAAAGAAAGATGTGTGCATGTCCTACCATAGGCACGAGCACTTTCTGCCTTAAACTCGGGTTATCACGTAGTGTAGGTTCTGTGGCTGCATTATTAAAAAGCAAACTAGACAAGCTTTGGATTATGTCTAATGTGCAGGGAGCCAAGAACAAATTTAAAAACTCCTGAGCCCGTATCTTTTATATTTCATTGTGTTCATACATAAAGCTAGAAATATAAAAATCTGTAACATGACAGTCTAAGAAGGGCAGGTAGGAACTTACCTGACAATAGCTTTTGCAATGTTGCACGAGCTTCCTTCCATGCAGGTCGTCCCAATCCCACAAACTTGTTAAGATTAAGCTACACCATATCTTAATTAATCACCCATCATTAACAAATAACAGTACACTATGTACACATGGGTAACAGAATGTATACTCTAATGCGTCCTTTCCTAAATATCTAGTCAAAGAAATGTACAATTATACGTTTACTCACACACGGCATACATACAATTACGCGTTCAGCTGTTAGAATATTATCAGTATTCTTATACAATATGTATTTGTGAAAACTTAAATGACACCAGTAAGGATCTAAATAAAAAACATATATAGCATGTTTGGCTGAGCTTAAAAGATGCTTGTCATACCTCCAATTTGAGTTCTCGTGGAACTCAGGCCTCTAAAATCATATAAATGCTAAATTCATTCTTTAACTCTCCTGTCATTTCTTTTACAATCTTTAAACAACGATATGTAAATCATGATTATTTCTACTAATTCCGGAAACATATATGCGCTTGCTCAGTTATACATTCAATGCTCCATGACTCGCCAAACTAAAATAATAAATAATATAAAATCATACTTCAATTTACTTTCCTAATATTAAAGATATACCCGTAAAATTAAACTACATGCAGATTTCCCTTCAAAATTCGAACAAAAAATAAACCAACTCTCCAATCAACGATCACTTAGTAGAGGAGAAATAAACGAACCTTGTTGAAACAATCGGAGTTTTTAAGAACCGGACCATCGAAAAGACCGGCGGAGGCTATTACAGAGAGGTCCAATACATATTTTCCAACTGCGACACCATGCCTGGGCTCCGAATCGGGTTCGGGCTTGAACAAACCGTACGGAAGGTTCTGAATAGGGAAATGAGAATCTGATTGGATCTCGACGAATGACGTCCGCACCATAGTAGCGAGAAGTCGGAAGTAAGGTTTGATGACTGAGAAGTGAGATGAATTGTATTGTAGTAATTACTGTGAAGTGATCAATTTATAGCAGTGTAGAAGATCGTGAGGAGGAGTAGATGAAATCAACCGCTGAGCGTGGCGAGATTGTTTTTCCCGGTCCCAATGCAGCCAACTTCGGATGATAGCCGACGGGTAAGCCGCACGCATAATCACTTTTATAAGTTACACCCCACCACCTAACCACCACCATGTTTCATGAATCATAGAGCATTAAAATGCTTCAAAATAGTAACTAGAGTTCTGAACTTTAAAATACTTCCAACTAGTCGTTGAACTTCATTGAAAAAAAAATTTCATAATATTTTCGAATAAAGTTAATTTTCTATGAGAACCATATCAAGAAAATAAAATAAATATCGATTAAATACCGATACTCTCAATATAAAATGAGAATATTAATATTGGTCAATAAAATATAATTTATCTAGTCGTTGAAAGCTAGTTTCAAAGGGAAAAAAGAATTCAACCTTCGAATTAACGTAAATCTTAATTTAAATCATAATTTTTCTTTACATCGAGAAAATAAAATAGATAGATTATTTATTTATTTATTTCGATTGAGATCTTAGATCTATATATATATATATATATATATATATATAT